GTTATTATGACTTTAATAAAACGCTTGTACATTATTTATTTATACGAGATAATATAATGTGGGTAGCTTGAGCTAGAGATGCAACAAAAACAACACAAGAGTTCAGACAAGGGAAAAATGAGAGAAAATATTGAGATAAAAACCAATCATCTTAATGCGACAGTGGACTACTGACTTAAGAAAAGGGTAAGCAGGATCACTTTTTAAATAGAAGTTCTGAAATCCAAGCAAAGCTGAGATTACGACAGCTGTATACTCCAAAAGCGGCTTTGTTTGCACAATATGGTCAATCCGATGAGATTACACGCAAAGCAAGTGCTTGCAAATACTAAATCGACGCTGCTAGGACTAATTAGCCTTAAGTGCAGCCTAAATACACAAATCATTAGCAAGTTCATTGCTGCAAACGGAGAGACAGGCTAGAAAAAAAAAGGTTTTTGAAATTGAGAAATTTGGAATAAATAATGACAAGATTTATAGTATGGACCCCGGCCAGCTTCCCATAGGTACCACCGCGGCGCATACGCAACGCGGGCCCGACTTGGACGCTTCTCACTTCATTTACGAACACGAAAGCATTTCTGCTTGAATAAGGAATGAAATGAGAAGTGGAAACTCCCATATGAAACTTGAGAAAGGCCAAAGCATTAAGAGAACGTTCATAACTTCCTCCAGCGCTTAGATTTTAGTCAGTCTCATTGAGGCTAGTTTGACATTCATCTATCATTGGTGATAGAGGAACCAGAAAAAGTCGAGGAACACTTTTACGCGGCCACAAAAACTAGAAAGTTTAAGATCGAGAGTTGAATGTTAGAAGAAAAGCCTTAACGAAGCATTAAAAAAGCCTAGAAACATCTTATATATAAAGCTGAATGTCTGTTTGTCTGTCTGTATGTCTGTATGTCTGTCTGTCTGTGTGTACGTATGTTCCGAATAGAAAATTCCATTTCTGAACCGATCCGGACCAAACTTGGCACACATACACTACGGGCCCCGGCGGGTGTCATAGGCTACTTTTCGTCATCGATCGATATCGATTTTATCGATTTTTATCGATTTTTTTGCTGAGTTCACCTACGGGGCTGGGAGTTGGCACAGGGGGGTAATCGAGCATGAGGATTCCGAATACAATATTGGTTTTCAGGATTATCGATTACTTTTATCGATTTTATCGATTTTTTTGCAAAGTTTGAGCTACGGGGCTGGGAGTTGGCACAGGGGGGTAATCGAGCATGGGGATTCCGAATACAATATTGGTTTTCAGGATTATCGATTACTTTTATCGATTTTATCGATTTTTTTGCAAAGTTTGAGCTACGGGGCTGGGAGTTGGCACAGGGGGGTAATCGAGCATGGGGATTCCGAATACAATATTGGTTTTCAGGATTATCGATTATTTTTATCGATTTTATCGATTTTTTTGTAAAGTTTGAGCTAGGGGGCTGGGAGTTGGCACAGGGGGGTAATCGAGCATGCTGATCATCCCCAAGGGGGGTGATCAGCATGCTCGAACACCCCTGTGCCAAATTCCAGCCCCCTAGCTCAAATTTTCAAAAAATCGATAAAATCGATAAAAGTAATGGACGATCTTGAAAACTAATATTGTATTCGTAATCTGCATGCTCGATTACCCTCTGTGCAAACTCCCAGCCCCGCAGGTCAAACTTTGCAAAAAAATCGATAAAATCGATAAAAGTAATGGACGATCCTGAAAACTAATATTGTGTTCGTGATCAGCATGCTCGATTACCCCCCTGTGCAAAATCCCAGCCTCGCATGTCAAAATTTACAAAAAATCGATAAAATCAATAAAAGCAATCGATAATTCTGAAAACTAATATTGTATTCGGAATCCCCATGCTCACTTCCCCCCTGTGCCAACTCCTAGCCCTGTAGGTGAACTCTGCCAAAAAATCGATAAAAATCGGTAAAATCGACATCGATCGATAACGAAAAGTGGACTGTGACACCCGCCGGGGCCCGAAGTGTATGTGTGCCAAGTTTGGTCCGGATACGGCGGAGCCGGGTAAGCCAGCTATCCTTAATAAAAATCAGTCGGACATACAGGCTTATTCTGTAATAGCAGCCATTAAAGACACATCCGAATGCTAAATCCAGATAATCCAAATACAGATATACTAATTCAAATCTGCACTATCGAGAAAAAAAAGAAACTGATTAAAAGCGCTAAAGGCTGTCAAGTCTCGTAAAAACTCCTCAGCGGCAGTTGTCGTGAGTTCTTTGCACCTAAAAGAGAGAAATTACAGAATAAAACAAAGTCACATAAGAGAGAAAAGCAAAAAGTCCAGTAGAGCTGAAACGAAAAGCGCATTAAAGGCATGCGCTGCGCACGCGTCGCGGAGGTACCTATGGGAAGCTGGCCGGGGTCCACACTATACACGCAAATGCTCAACTTAAAGCTGAAAAGAGCCACTGAAAAAAATACAAACTCGATAAAAAGTGTTTTAAAGTTTGAAAGGGTAACAGGTGAAAATGAAAAAAATCTCGTGCCAGAGCACTTGTACTCCACTCGTATAAATGGGTTCGGCAAATGTAAGCCAAAGGACATACGCACCAGTCCAATTACGAATTTGAAAACACTTTTTTAAAATAACCAGATCAGTTTTGGAGCAAAGTTCGTTCTCACCAAAGAGCTACAGATTGAGAACGTGAATACAGGATTCAAGGCGACTGCTGCAATTATGTTCTTACAAAAACTTGATCGAATGGCTATTAAGTAGCACATTGAAATACACTTCGGAGAAAATTCCGGATTTTCGGTACAATTTTCACTTAGGCTCTGCAACAAAAATTTAATACATGGGTACGAGTATCTTATTTATCTTAAGTACAAATCACCAGAGAATAAAGAAGAATTGCAGAAAATTTGTTCCTTTTCGTCGAGCTTAAATAAGATTTACTCGTAAAATTTTCGATCATGTTTTCTTTCAACAAGTACAACTGATCGAAGAGCCTTTTTTGCTTTTAAAAATATGATCTGAGATGAGATATGCACGATAATTGAGGAGTATGTGACGCAGAATGTGAAAAACTCTGGTATTCAAGGTTTATGCAGGAACGTTCCGCATTATATCTCGTCTTTTTTTTTTGATGCAATATTTTTCAACTGCAGGGAATTTTATGCAAATCGTGAGCAGTCAAACCACTACATCATATTCCACTTTTTCTCAGTTTCCACGCATCACCGGATGAAAAACGAAACGGCGTAGATAGGCTGATGGGAACTAACACTTTTTGTGATGAAAACAGCGAGAAGGCGGATACAAATATCGAAGGAGAAGATGCCAGAAGAACAAAGAATGACCATTTTTAGCGCAAGATAGATTGTCAGATTAGAGAGTTCGGCTGTATTTGTATAAAGATACTTGTAGATATTGGGTACAGATATCTACATTGGATATAGATATTTGTATTGAAGATTATTTTTTTCAATATAAATGAAGTTCTCTTAAATGCAAGAAAGTCAAAAAATTGCAGGGAACAGAAATGCATGAAATGCAGTTGAATTTTTTAATGAACCATTGTTTTGGATTTTGAACTTTATTGCAGCTCTTTTTGGAAATTATGAGTTTATCACGAGAAAAAAATTCTTCCTGTTATTCTTCAAAACTAAGTTCTTCATAATTTGCACTTAGTACTCCAACTGGCCTTTCTGGAATTTTGAATTCAATTCAAAACAAACTAATATCCATTTGTATTTTCTGAAAGTAAAAATCTACGATAATGCTTGCATATAATATCTCAGAATTGCATCTTTGTTCTGAGCTATACCAACTGGTTTATAAACTCGTACTCATGAAAGCCTTTATCCATATTGTGTTTAGTATTTTGCTATTCCGAATCAGAAGAGATAAATGAGAAATTGGATTTCCAAAGATAAACCCACGATTTCCGAAAGAACCACAAAAAAGAGTAGGAAAGGAAATGCAATTAACGCGCTGCTCGATGTTAGCGATTTTTCCGACGATGGTTGCAGAAAATGGAAATGCCGACGAGAAGCAGATCGATATGGAGCTGGAGTGAGGGCAGGCGGAAACCGAAGAAGGGCTCCGTGCTAGCCTTATCAAATCCAGTTGTGCAGCACAATGGAATCATCGAATTACCAACAAAAGAGGTCGAAATTCTGCACTCGTTTTGCATCCGTTCCTGAAAAACTTTATTTCACAGCGACACAAGGGATGTTGTAGAGGGAGGAGAGGAGCTACCGTTAGTGCAGGAGTACCCTCTCTACACTACTTCTTTTGTTTATTTCATGAGAATCAATGAAGTTTTTGCTATTTATTACAGCAACCAAATATAGGATCGACAAATCCACTTTAGAACATGCAAATTTACTTTTCGAGATGTATTCTTCGTAAATCTAACCTGAGCGTGTAAAATATTCAAATTAATTATTACTGTTAGATCTTTCTCAGCATTCCAAATTATACCCTCCAATGTTTGGTCCAATAATTGTCCGTCGTTATACTATGCTTTCATCAATGAGCTTTGTCTCTAAAAGCAAGTACTCAGCTATTCATACATTTCTGCCACCCTTATTAGCATAATCCCACCATATCGGCGTTGCCTTTTTATCTTTCCGAAAGTCTACTATAAACTGGCAAGCTCTATCTCAGAAGTAATCGTATATTGATTTTCATTTCAATGAAGATAACGAAGCTAACAGTCACAACAACGATAAATAACAACAAGTCACAAAATTAACAACAATTCCCTCAATTACACGCGATATACGCTGCATGAGGGACAACAAACAACATCATGTGGAAGCCTTAGAGACTGGCACATACAAGTATTTTCTGTACATTCTAATAGAGAAATCTGGTCAATGAGAATGCCAAAAAAATTTTTGACTCTAACATTTGAAAAACGAAAAATATTGGTACAATCAAAAACCTATCGAAATGAAGAATACGCTTTATCTGATCATCTGAGCGAATGAGATGGTTAGGTCTTAACAACTGCTTTTCTTCCTTTACTTTTCTTCTTCTGCTTGTTCAGAACTTCCGAAACATCAGCGAAGAACTTCACATTCTGGGTCTCCTCTATTTCTAGCTGCAGCAATTCCAGTGCAGCAAGATTAAAACCACTCACGTCCTGAAATTACCTTCATAAAGTGCAAGCGGAAACATATTATAGATTGGAAAGAGAACTGCATGAGTACATCCGAAAAAATGGCGAGATTTTGAAAGATCTACACAAAATTATTATGAAGCGAGTGAAATTTGGTTCCCAACAGTTTCCCACGTAATGCATCTAACAAGATCTCCTTCGTTAACAAAAAGAGCTGATACCTCAAAAAAAAAAAACACCTTTACCTCAAAAAAGACATTTTTAATGAGATGTCTACTAAATATGACTGGATTACATGGTGAACAGGAGCGTCGATTGCTATGTAAATCTATAAAGGAGCATAATTAACTTACCCGGACTTCCCTGATCCCCTGCGGCATTTCGGAACTGATTTTTTCAATTACTGGAAGCATTTCTGTTGAGTTAATGATGTGATTCTGATGTATTCTAGAAAAAGACGTAGATAAATCTTGTGCCTGGAAAGTAAAACCGCTACCTTATCAAAAATATCGCTACCCGCACGGCAAGTTCAATTTTGTAGTGTTGATGTACACATGCAGAAACTGCTGTGAGAATGTCGGCAACGTAGCTCAGCGGAACCATAAGCAAACATCGTTCCAGGTTACTAGATAGTCGCGATCGCAGACGGTCATGATTGATGTTAAACAGCAGTATTACCTTGGTCTACATCGCGACAAAACGTCAATGATGAAATGATCATAAGACTTGCTGTTGTAAGCCTTGATCAATGGATGAGCTTCATGCTGTAAAGAATTCGGTACAGCAGATAATAAAATCTCCAATATATAATCTGAACAAACCTCAGGGTTTTCTCTCACTTGGACTTTCTCGTTTCTTACAATATCTACTGCTTCAATGATATTTTCTGCCTGAAACATGCATCATAAGCACTGTAAGCACTGTAACATATTGGGTGAGCAAGAGAACGCCGATTTCGATTATTACCGATGCTATGCTTTGAGTATTCTTGACAGTAGCTAAGCCAGCTTCAGGTTCGGCGACCTCACCAGAAACCACATCCTCTTCTTCAAGAAGGCGCGATTCATAATCTTTTTCCCTAAAACATCGCTGCGATAATGACAACCATTTCTCTTTTTGATGCGAAGCTGATGCAGCGACTCAAAAATGCCGACCAAAAAAAATCACCTTTCCATCTCCTCTTCTTCTTGTACAACAATCAGCTCCTCAGTCAGTTCCCAACACCGAAGAGATTTGTCATGCGAAGCTGAGAACTATAACGTGGTTTTCAAAGAAGATAATTAAAAGATTGTCGTATTTTCTTACCAATGAACTGCCATTGTCCGTCTGTGCTAATGCGCGGACTTCAGCTGAGTGACGATCCAGAACCTGAACATCATCATAGAATTATACCTGACATTTGAATTTTTCTGGTTTACAAGCGCAAAGCTCTAAGAATTCTCTGCAACCATCCCAAAGCATGTGCTGGCCTTTTTTGTTTGCGGATGTTGTCCATCATATCTAGGCCTTCTAGATTGCTAGATTTCAGTTGAATTCCCAAAGCGAGTGAAAAAGTCATATGAAACTTCTCTCCTTCTCTGCAGGAAAGACTACCAGTTTTTAACGCAACGCGACGGCTTGCACAAAATGAGAGAACGCGTTTAAGGCCTACTCCTTATTTTCAACATATGCGCACTGTGATGAAATGATTAAAAGTATGAAGATTACAGACCTGTACACGGCACATCTTCTGTGCATCCCACTGCTTGATTTTACCATCTCTACCTGCTGACCAAACAAGCAACTCTTCAGAGGGTGAAAACAATACAGCCGACACACTGAATGGAGTCATTTACGTACGTTTGGAAGTATGAAATGAACTCAGTACCATAGCGGTTCGCAGTCAAAGAAAGTAAGAAACAGTAATAGAATGACAACATAGAAGAAAGAAAACACGAGAATTTTCTGGAACTTACACGTCATCGTGAGCGTGAAAAGACTTGTGACAGTCACCAAAATCGAGTCCCCAGATCTTTATTGACTTGTCAGCAGATCCAGTCACAACTAGTTTGCTGTTCTACGAAAAACAATGACTTCAAAATAATATTCTCGAATGAAGAAAGGTTAACTTACTGGGCTAACTGTAACACATGTTACAGGTAAGGAATGACCATAGAGGGAAATGAAAAACTTCAACGTGTCGAAGAAATAAACTCCGGCGGTGTTGTCAAGCAGACCAATTATTACGAACTTGAAAACAAAAAGTACAGATCTATTATAGAAATAGATTCAACTACCTTGCCATCTGGTGAGACCGCACAGCAGAGAGCTTCGTCTGGCAACTCCAGTATTCTTGTTTCTCGAAGGGATAAGCGCTTACTGTAAGATTGACATGACTCCACAAATCATTATATGATATACTGCTAATTACCGTGTGCCTTCGGAGATAACGTCATACGACCAAAACCTGGCTTTTTTATCCGAAGATACTGTGATAATACCCTGAAGATACAAAGTGAGCCAACAACAAAGAAGACCGACAACCTACCTTGCTGTCTGCTGTCTGGACTATTGACCAAATCGCTCCCTCATGACCTTTGCGCATTTCAAGCAGTTCACAAGCTGCTACATCCCAAAGATATAACTCGCCTGCCTAAAATGACACATTCACGAACATGAAGAAACACTAATGCGTGCGAATCAGAACTTTCAATGCCACCGACTGCCAAATTTTGTAAGATATTTTGTGATATCTAATAAAATTGAATAGGAGGACGAGCAATCCAAGATGCTACAACTTAAAAAAAACACATGCACAGGACATCGATCAATCTATTTAAGTCGCATACCTTGGTTCCGGCAATAACGTGCCCGTCGCCCACAGCAAAAATGACGGAAGTGACATCGACCATACCTTCGCCTTCAAGATGTGCAACTGGTCGAAGTGAATGGACATTCCATACTATGAGCTAAACTTCTTGGATAAATAAATTGTAAGTAAATCTAAAAAGAAGTTTTACCTCGTCACCACCACCGGAAATGACAGCATTGTTGGATGACGACACTGACAAACCACGGATATCACTTCTATGGCCAAGCTATAGAAGACTGTTCGAGTAAATGAATACGAAGCTTGTGAGGAACTCACACGATCAGTGTTGGAGACTCTTTCGAATGTTACAGCATTTGATGCGAGATTACACCTAAAGTTCAAAAGATGCACATTGTTATTGGCCATAAGAGTGAAGACCTGCAAAAGCAAAGTTGAACGGCATCATTATTCAAGAAGTCAGACTTTTATCAGTGGCGGACCGAGGGGGAGGGGGTTGAAATTTACTTACGTGAGTTATAAAATGTGCAAGTGACTTATTCATTCTTGTAAACAATAAAAGTAATTTTTATATTGTAAAAATTCAAATTAGCTCTGTGAAAATTTTTTTTTCGAGGGCAATCACAAAAATTTTGAGAAGCGCCCTAAAATTTTTTCGGAGTGCCTGACGCCACGCACCTTCATTTGAAAAAACTTCTTGCCCCTCCCGAACGGAAATCCTGGGACCCCAGTGGCTTATATGGATTTGAGAAAACCGACCGAATATTCGATGTTGCTCTCTTCGTCCATGACGCATTTGGCGGTGAAATCTGCCCACTTGATCTTGGACTGTGAGCGGTACTCACCGACCGGAGCAACAAGAATGGTCACATCCTTCTTCACTTCTTCCTCGGAAACTCCTGCAGCTCCGCTTTCGCTAGATGAGATAAGTGAAAACCATAAGCATGAATGATATTCGTTTACGCAATACTCCAAAATCGAAAACCAAAGTCAAAACAAAGAGAAATTGACCAAATTAAAAAAATACTACCTTGTGGCTTTCCTCTTCGCATTTTTCAACTTCTTCGCAAGACGTTTACTAGACTCTGCTTCTGTAAAGACGCGATAAACGTCGACGATCTTGTCAGCCCCCTAAACGCGGTGTGGGTCAAAGACACAAGTGAAGTTGACCAGCACTTACCATGCACAAGAGAAACCTCTTATCAGGTGAGGAAGCAATCTGGAGAGCTCGTCCTTTGCACTGACGTAAGAGTCTTCCTCGTAATTTCACTCGCACGTAACGCTAAGCATGCATAATGGTCAACTGATAATAGTAGCACTAAGCGATAAATTTACATTCGCCATATCTTCAATGGCACCGTTCGTAACATCAGTCGAAGCTTTCTTTTTCTCAGGCTCCTGGTCTTGACTGGATGTTGGCACGACTCCGTCATCCAACCAAGTAAGGCTGTACAAAATAAGCTCAGCTTCAGCACTTGCAACCACCATCAGTGTTTCATCGATAACTATACTGAAGGAGTAAACCTACAATAAAATGAATTTGCAAAACAAGAGGCTGAGACAAAAAAGCAGACCACAGACCTCAGTACGGTTTTCAAACAAAGTGAAAAAGCAGCTCTGACTTTTCAAACACCAGAATTTGACTAGACAATCCTTTGACCTGGAAATGGTTACTGAAAATCTGAGCCTGATGCTTTTCCCTCAGAGGTTTTGACAGTGAATTAGACATTATACACCCAAACATTCTTCGATTTGTTGATGAGAGATTAGAAAAAGTAAACGTCCAAATGAAACTTACGATGTGATGAGAAATTGACCATCACGGACAAACGCCAGGTGAGTAACGGGCCCTTTATGTCCACTGAGACGAAAAAGACCGCTTTCCGAGACTACGTCCCACAGAATCACTGCACAGTCCTAAAGAATAAACTGAGCTGAAAAGGAAAAGCGAAAGATTAGTGTGAAAAAGCTTTACCTTTCCTCCAGAGGCTAAAGTTAGCCCATCATCACTGAATTCCAAACAATTGACTCCCTTCTTGTGACCAGAGAAAATGACGCTACTCATTTCTACAAGAGGAATGTTCGTTGATCTGATACCGCAAATTAATTTTCAGTCTCACCGCTCGAACTCCTATCAAAGACTCGTATCACACCATCGGTGTACCCAACTGCAAGCCATCTCTTATCAGGGCTCAGCTTTATGCAGGTTGCATCCTTTTCGGACTCCGATATTTCGTTAACCTGAAAGAATATAATGAAGAAGCAGTAGAACGCCTACAACATAGTTGCGATGGGAAGTGATTGGCAGATAAACTGCCTTACACTGAAAAAGGTAAGAGATGTTATCTCATCACGAACTTTGACATCGAAATTTATATAATGAAAGACTGTCAGAAAGTGTCAGAAACGGATAACGATATTTGTTACGGTTAAGAACAGACTTATTTGATACGTCTTGACCTTGACGGGAGGTGTTCTACATCTATAAGCACCGAATCTCAGTTAAGCTACAATCTGTGGCAACCACGTGCTTCATTTTCTGTAGCCACTACGCATCCGCAGGTGTGGGCATTTCACAGCGATCTCCATCAATGCGACAAGTTTGAACGCTCAGGGTACGCCCGCGAACGCAGCATGGTGCCCTAGCGTTGCGCTCAAGCTGACCCGAAAAGGAGTACAACGTTGACACAGACTACTGCAGTTCTAAGTATTGCTGCTTCGGACTAGCTCAAACGAGAACCGGCGGTGAAGCGAATAGAAAAGTTAAAATGACGAGTTTGAAAAGAAAGAATGAAGCAGTAAGATTAGCGAAGGACAAACCTTCTCACTGGTCCTCATGTTGTAGAAGCTGACATTTTCGCAAGCAGTAACAGCACAAACTTTTTCGTCAACAGCACACACGGCACCATTCGAAGATCCAACACAGCCGCAGCTACCACTGTGCACGTAACGCAGATAATCCTTTGTTAACCCCATAAACTACACTGAAACTAGAAATGAACGCAGCTGAGAAGCATCTGAAGGGTATACATGGTTAACAACTCAAATGCAAGAGAACAATTCGAAGCTCCGATAGATTTGGACGGAAATTGAAGACATGTGGTGCAAGCGCGGCCACGTTTTCTACTTCGCGCCCAGTCCAAGATTCCGTCTCGAGCGGACTTCTAAGGGATCGTTCATACCGCGCACAAAGGCGGACGAAGGCGGACGAAGCCGGACGAAGCCGGACAAAGCCGGACAAAGGCGGACGAAGGCGGACGAAGCCGCACAAAGGCGGACGAAGACATGTGTGAGTGTGTGTGTGTCGAGAGAAACGAGACGAGGCGTGTGTGAGTGTGTGTATGTGTGTGTCGAGAGAAACGAGACGAGACAAGACGCGCCTTCGTCCGCCTTTGTCCGGCTTTGTCCGGCTTCGTCCGCCTTCGTCCGGCTTTGTCCGGCTTCGTCCGCCTTTGTGCGCGGTATGAACGATCCCTAAGGCAGGCTGTTATAAGGCACGCGCCATACTTGATCCGCTTAATCCACTTGATCCGCTTCATCCATTCCACTATTGGTCAGTTCACTGAATTGACCAATGGTGAAGCGGATCAAGTGGATCAAGCGGATCAAGTGGATTAAGTATGGCGCCTGCCTAACGTGGAGGTTTGACAAGTATCGTTGTAATCAGGGAAAGTCCGCAACCCGCCTACACAGGAATCGGGGAGTCAATCGTAATGTTAATACTCTCATGCGCATCTAATATCCAAAGATCCTTCTGGTCATTTGATGTGGGAATGTGTCAGAAATGAGCCATTCAAAAGTGTATCGTTTGTCCCCAGCAAGATCCCCATAGGTACCACATCTCGCTGGCTTTTGCTCTTTTGAACGTGTTAACCTCGGGCAATTCCGTTGAAATCTCAGGAGGAACGTGTCAAAAAGAGCGAAAGGCAGCGTCGCACCACGTACTACGCATGCTGGTTCACATGGGAACTTTTCTGGGGCACAGGATATGTTGTGACTAAAATGGGGTGGCAAGAGGGTTTTAATTACTGGTTGCCGGGCACTATTCCACATTAGGCCCCGGGCAGACTTCACGCGATCGTCGCTACTGAATCGCGACGAGACAACTGTTACAACATCATTCCATGCCGATCAACTTGCATTCGGTTGTGATACTTTTCAAACCCGAAATTTTTGAATGTGAAATGAAAATGAATGTGGAAATCTTGGCGATTAGGTCGCGACGATTAAGTCGCGTGAAGTCTGTCCGGGGCCTTAGGTAGTTTACCCAAAATGAAAACCACTGGTTTCGCTGAAACTTCGTCTTGAAGAATTGTTTTGCTAGCTGATTACGAATATCACACTTATTTCGCACGATTCTGCCATCTGGTAGAGGAGTTGCGGTAGGATTACGGTAAGGTGCATGCTAAACCACGGATTTGACCCAAACTTCGTCTAGGGGGTTATTTGGTAATCTGAACATCAGTGGCGGTTGCAGGATTTCCGTCGGGAGCGGGGGGGGGGGGGGGCGAGGGGCGGCAAAGAATTTTTCAAATAAAGGTGCGTGGGTTTAGCCACGCACTTCGTAGAAATTTTTGAGGTTCTTCTCAAAATTTTTGGGGATTGATAAAATCCCCTAAAATCTAGAAAAAGTGGGCGTGACGGCAGCCAAAAAATTTTACAAGGCTATATTGAATTTTGAAAAATTTTAAAAATTAATTTAATTGTTTACAAAAATAAACAAGTCACTTGCACATTTTTATAATGCACCCCCCCCCCCTCGGTCCGCCACTGCCAAATATCATGCTCGTTCGCTCAACAATGCTTTATTGTTAGAGTTACGATGAGCTACATTGCGTTAAAGAGCAGCTTTTCGCTTTCAACCAGATTTGAATCCCAAAAATTCACAAAAAGACTTCAGCATGTTAAATAACACCTCTGCACAAAGGTTCGAGTAATCTATCACTTTAGTCACCTACCTTACACCTCTCATAATTTCGCGAAAAAGTTCAAAACGCAAAAGGGGCATGATTTTCGTAATCGGCGTGCTTAGGAACCCCTCTGTTCAATGTTCTGAGCAGATTCGGGATTTTTAGCCATTTACTGTGCAACCATCGCAACACGAGTGGTTTTCATGTTCAGCATGCCAAATTACTCACCTGGACGAATTTTGAGGCAAATCCCCTCGGCTTGACCCCCCTACCTAATCCTATCGTAATGTCGAAGGATGCCAATATCGTGCAGAATAAATGCGATATTCGTAACCAGCGTATAAAACAAGCCCTCTAGACGAAGTTTCAGCGAAATCGATAGGTGACTAAAGGATAGATTGCTCGAACCTTTTTGCAGGAGTGTTATATTATACAGAGTGTCCCAAAAGTATGTATTGTTTGATCACTAATATCTCTCTTCCCTAAAAGTCTTTTGCCTGTCTTCAGGTACCATCTTGTAGAGCAGGCTTCAACTTAGATATACCGTATGGAGCGGGTCAACTATCTTCGTTCACTACTATAGGATTAGAGTAGCAACTTCAAGAAGGGTTTGAGTCCTATTCCTATTTTGCCTTAGAAAGCAAACCAAAATCTGGAAACTCTTGCACTAGGCTAATTAAAGTCGCTAAAAGCAAATATGAAGTTTGTGTTTCACCGCGATGTTTCCTCCATAACTTATACCCAGTAAATCGTAATAGCTGTCTTTACAATGCTCCCTGAAATTGCAGTCACATTCATTCAAAAGCTTTGCAAACTCCTAGAAAGTTCCACGCACCCAGAAAATTTTTTTATTACGCTTCTTGAAAACTTCGCGGGCCCATAACCCCAAAATTTTAGAAAAAGGAGGCGTGGCGTCAGCCACGCCCCTGAAAAATTTTTTTTTATAAAGCTAAATTGAATTTTTAAAAAATTTAAAAAATTATTTTAATTACTTACAAGTATAAGTAAGTCTTTTGCACATTTTTATGACTCATGTAAGTAACTTTCAAACGCCACCCCCCTCGGTACGCCACTGCGAAATAATGAAATAATAAATAAATAAAATTCCTGGTTTACCACTTTTCAGTATTTTTCGAAACTTTTTTGAAACACCACTAATCCACAATGACGCTGTAAGTCAAAAGTTCCTACCATAATCCTACAGTATCGAAGAGCGATCGGTGGTTCGCTGCATACTGTAAATCTAAGTTCAGCTCTACGAAAAGGTACCTTAATGTAGATAAAAGACTTTTTGGGAAGAGAGATAGTAACGATCACCCTTTTGATACACCCTGTATATCACCCTGTACATAGGATTACGGTAGGGGGTCAAACCTAGGGATTTATCTCAAATTTCGTCTAGGGAGTTATTTGGCATGCTGAACATGAAAATCACTTCCTACGGTAGCGCCTTTTTTTCGGATTACGATTATTATACAGTAAAAGGCTAAAAATCCCGAATCTGCTCAGAACATTGAACAGAGGGGTTCCTAAGCACGCCGATTACGAAAATCATGCCCCTTTTGCGTTTTGAACTTTTTCGCGGAATTATGAGAGGTGTAAGGTAGGTGACTAAAGTGATAGATTACTCAAACCTTTGTGCAGGGGTGTTATCTGACGTGCTGAAGCCTTTTTGTGAATTTTTGAGATTCAAATCTGCTTGAAAGCGAAAAGCTGCTCTTTAACGTAATGTAGCTCATCGTAACTCTAACAATAAAGCATTGTTGTGCGAACGAGCATGATATTTGGCAGTGGCGGACCGAGGAGGGGGGGAGGGAATGGATTATAAAAATGTGCAAGTGACTTGTTTATTTTTGTAAACAATTAAATTATTTTAAAATTTTTCAGAATTCAAAAAAGCCTTGTAAAATTTTTTGGCTGCCGTCACGCCCACTTTTTCTAGATTTTAGGGGATTTTATCAATCCGCAAAAATTTTGAGAAGCACCCCAAAAATTTCTACGAAGTGCGTGGCTAAACCCACGCACCTTTATTTGAAAAATTCTTTGCTGCCCCCCCCCCCCCGCTCCCGACGGAAATCCTGCGACCGCCACTGATGTTCAGATCACCAAATAACCAACCGTAGACGAAGTTTGAGGCAAATCCGTGATTTTGTATGTACCTTACCGTAATCCTACCTTAGCCCCACCGGATGGCACTACCGTGCAAAATAAATGCGATATTCTAACCAGCGTGAAAAACAAGCCCTCTACACACAGTTCCAGCGAAATCTGTGGTTTTCATTTTGGGTGAACATGTGGAATAGTAGCTATTGACCGTAGATGAGGATCCAACATTGGACATCTACTAGGTGGCCGCCTACACTTCGGCAGACTGCCGTTGTCTCTCACTTTCCAGTGACCGGTCTGTTACCGATCGCTTTGGGCCTTGGGCATAGCTCATGCGAGGAAGTCGTCGAGATTTCCGATCGCGACGACTTGCTCGAAGTGGCGACTGGAAGCGGCGACTGAGTCGCTCATCGGTACTCAGACATTCGCGGTTAAAGGCAGTGTCCGGGCAAAAACTCGATCATGAGATTTTTTGCTTACCCGGGCCTATTCGCTACGCTGAATCCGAAAATGCATATTGGAGAGCGCGAAAACGGCGAAAAACGGCTCCCAGCAGGTGGGCGGGGCCCTCCCCACTGTGATTTCACGCTCCCAGCTTCCAGAGCGATCTTCTCGGTCCCGATTTCAAGTCATGCATTCGCACCTGGCCGGTGGAGATCTCAGGGCGCTATAGGAATTGGGAAGATCGCTCCAAAAGCTGGGACTGCGAAATTCAAAGCGGGGGGACCCCGCCCACTTCCGATTTCCCTCCTGCGTTAGAGCCCCTTTTTGCCGTTTTTGCGCTTTCCAATGTGGATTTTCGGATTCAGCATAGTGAATAGGCCCCGGTAAGCACAAAATCTCAAATTCGAGTTTTTGCCCGGACACTGCCTTTAAGTCCCGCCGGTGAAAAAGTGTGTCCCGACGGAATGACTGCGGGACACGCGCTTTTGTCGAAATGCTTTCTACTGAGAAAACCGGGAGCTCCTATGAGAGTCCCGATAATGTCGTGATCCAATCACCGGCGGGAC